CCCCCTCGGCAGAAACGAAAATCGGCAGAAGTGCAGCAAGAGACTCATCTTGGACTTCACTTCTGCGAGCGACCCTTCGACAGAAATAACGAGGACTTAGTTTTTCTGATGAAGGTGGCGCTCCGAAATCGCGAGAAATTCGCGATTCGTAAGTTAACCTCAGAACCGATCTGGACCGAAAAACGGAAAAATCTACCTGCGACATTAAGAATTGAACACGTGACGCGCATTTCGTCACTGCGGAAATGTGCGTAACACCTGACAGTTTCATATCCGAAACTGTTAAAACTACTACTTCTACGTGGGTAAAATTACCAACCAAGCATGCGCAGTAATTTTCACCTGCCATTTGCTGACTTGGCTAAGCGCAGCTTAAAGTAGTTATGTAAACGTTCTTGTGCGAACGTTCTCGCCGTGTTCAATGGGGTTCAATAAGGTAGTACTAGTGTTTGCCTTGTATATCATACTTAGTAATCTTGATTCTAGTGAATTTGTGTGCCTAAGCTTTCTCAAAAGCTACTCAGTGAAACACACAATTCTGAAGGCAACTTTCTCCTTAGAGAACGACAGAGCTAGAGAGCTCTATCTGCGTCAGGCACTTCCGCAGAAGCTCTCGTTATAGCAGTAAACTCTGCATGAATCTGCAAGCATTAATGGAGCAATTGAATAATTTGACAAGCGTTGTCAACAACCTCCGCGACGAGAACCAGCGACTTCGCCAGGCGCAAGAAAGGCGTTTAGAGGAGCCGGACGACGATACACGAAGCGAGGCAGGTGAGCAGCAACTGTCGCCATTGGAGTTGGCCCGACTAGCGGCAACAGCCCCGCGCTCAACAAGTGGCGGCGTGCGATATCATCAATCCGCTCCTTTCGACCCAGCTAATAAAGGCGTGACGGTGCGGCAGTGGATATTCGCCATGAATATCTACTTTAACGCGGCAGGCATCAGAAGCGGCAGAGACGATCAGAAGCGGATCAGCCACGCGTTAACACTGTTGCAAGGGGCTGCCTGGTAGTCGTGGAAGGTCATCGTCGATTCAGCGGCAACTCCCACAAAACGAGAGCACGAGTGGTCCGAAGAATTTCGGCGACGAAGACGAGGCAGATTTGTTGTTCGGTGCGACCCACATTCGCACGTGGCCAACGTGGTGCGCAGAGCTTCGCAAGCGGTTTGAGCATGCTCCTGATCCAGACAAGGCACGCGAGACTCTACGCATGTGGAAGCAGCTGGGATCTGTGTCCGAGTACACCGCATCATTCTTGACGTTGGTGGACAGATGTGGCTACATGTAGGAATTGGAGAAGGTCGACATGTACATGGGCAGCTTGAAGCCTGAAATACAGTACCAGATAAAACTGCAACGCCCTGCAAAGCGGTTACAAGACTTCATCCAGCTCGCCGAAGCCGCTGATTCGCTCACGAAGCCGAGGCCGAACTTCTACGACATAGGTCGCCCTCGAGAACAGTACAGCGCGCCACAATAAAAGGGGGTGGACGCAGTGGATATTTAAGCAGTTGCTCCGTAAAATACAAGGCTATGCTATCACTGTGGCCGGCCGGGTCACATCCGACGCAACTGCCAAGAATCCATAGCCCTCCAGAATTCTATGGGGAAGAAGTCGGATGAGCGGCCGGCAAAATGGGTCGCGTTAGTAAGTACCGGGCCCATTACTAACGGGCAAGCTTCTTCGCCCGAGCAACACAGTCCCTACCGGGTCATGATCCCGATTGCTGCGATCGACCGGACCCGGACGAATAAGGGGGACGAAACTGCTGATCATCCTGTGTTGGTGGAGGGTAAAATCAACGGAGTGTTATTGAAGATTTTCGTTGATGGAGGCGCGAGTCACAGTCTCATACAGTTGGACAGGGCTAAGAAACTGGGTGCAACGTGCTGCTGGGATGTGATTGGATGTGTAACCAGGCCACGATTATGAACCAAACCCAGCCACCCAACCTCCCCGCACCAGCCAAAAACGTTACCCTTGTGCACAGCAAAAATCCCTCGCCACTGGTGGCGCACCCAACTGCTGCTCTCTCACTCCCGAGCACTCAGCAAATTCTTGCTCCGACGACACAAGCGTCGGTTCCTACTAGTGTCTCAACGCCGCGCCTTACCGTCCGTCTTTCCCCCTTCTACCCATTCTTCTATTCCCCTCTCTCCCTCCCCCCCATCTTCAGCTTTTCACCCATTACATGGAGCAACTTAATGCTGCCATGTTTGCGGAGGGGAGGCGGGTCATCGTCCTTGTGGACAACGCCTCCGCCCACACCCTCCTCTCCTCCGATGCGCTTTCGGAGGACCTCTTCGGGTTTAGAACCCGCACCCTCTCCAACCTCCGCCTTGTCTACCTCCCCCCCAATACGACGTGTTTTACTCAGCCACTTGACCAAGGCATAATTGCCATGGTCAAAGCGCGCTACCGCTCGCGTTGGCTTGAAGAGCTCACGCGGCGGTGGGGAGAGAACGGCGCCGCGGCGGCCCTGACGCGCTTCCGCCCCAGCATGCGGGACGTTGTTGAGTGGTTGTGGGAGGCATGGTGCGCGGTGGGCGACCGGACGATCCAACGGTGCTGGTGGCGCACCGGTTGTCTCCCCGCCGAATGGGCGGCCCTCCTCGAGCACGTCCCGCAAGCTCCTCTCCCGTGCGACGTCGTGCCCGAGGAGGAGCGAGACGAGCATGACGGTGGCTTGGAGGCCGACGAGGACTCCGACGAGAGCATTGAGGAGGTCGTCGGAGGGGTCGGCCTCCGAAATCGCCGCCCTCAGACTCGGGTCGTCCGCCATGCCGGCGGCGGAGTTCGTCGCCATCGACGAAGCGCAGCCGACGTGCGCGGAGGCAGAGGATGACCCCCTCGCTGAGTAGTCTCCCTTTCCCCCGCGCCATGAGGCGTGGGAGGCGCCGCCTCGCGACGACATCCAGGCGTTCGGCGACGCGGGGCGACCGGGCGCGGCGTCGCATGGCGCGGGCGGCGTGCGAGATGCTCATTGGCTACGCCCGTGCCACGAACATCTCCCCTCGTGACATGCTCGCCCTCTTCGACATACGTAACCCTGTCGTCGTGAGCAGGCTCGAGAGGGCGAGCCCCCTCCGCGATCTCAACGGCCCCCCGGCGAGCCCCTCTCCCCATCCGCGCACTGGCCGCGTCCTCCCACCGTCGATCGCGGGAGTTTCCCGCCGCGCGGAGCTGTATGAACAGGGCGTCCGGGCGGTGATGGACGGTCTGCTCGGACCTGCTAAGTGGATGCGCCACCCTTTCGGCTCTGCTTAAGTGCGTTAGCGGAGAATGGGTGCCGCCATTAAGTTCCTCGTGCGGGCAACGTAGCGATTTTTCTGCTTTAGGATTTGTCTCCATAAATTCAAGTGAAGTGAGCTTCCAGAGTTTGGGAGGAGGTGGTTGGGAGGACAAGTGCTGGCGTTACTTACCAGAATGGGGTACGCTGAGGTGGCACTGCTGTTTGATGTTTCGAACTGGTTGAGGTGTTAGATGTGTGTGGTTTATTGCAATTTTGTTGTGATTTTGCCAGTGGTACTTGTAATCTGTTTGAATGCGGCATTGTTTGCCTGTGTAACCAGGCTACGATTATGAACCAAACCCAGTCACCCAACCTCCCCCGCACCAGCCAAAAACGTTACCCTTGTGCGCAACAAAAATCCCTCGCCACTAGGGGCAAAGGGTGGCGAAATGCAGATTCGACAGAAGGCCACGCGGCTTGGAAAGGTAGCGGGCCTCTCTCGGGCACAGATTGTATATTGTTGGACTCACGCGTGGTGTTGGTCGTGGCTAGGCTGGGTGGAAGGCCGGTACAGCAGTAGAGGCCTGCTGAAATGGTTGCCACTCACACCGCCCTGTTCCTATACGAGCTATAGTGGTGGCGTCGCTGGCAGTCTGGCTTGTGATTTTCGGTCCGCCTACTATGGGTTCCCCTAGTCTCTTAGTCGGACTGCGTCTCTGTGCCTCGGTGTTTTTTGAGGTGTGGTGACGGGGAGGTGTGGTGGATGAATTTCAGTTCTGCCGACAAATTGGACAGAGTGGTTTAGGGCGGTGGAGGTGTTTGCGATTGCATTCCCCTCCAACTGTTCGTCAAGTGCGTGGGCTGGGAACTTGCAGGGTTAGTTTGAGGCAGCGTCCTGGCGAGTTCCGTGCCTTCGCGACCTGGGTTTGGTTTCGTAAATCGTTTTCGCGACAGTGGGGATTCGCCAACTTCCCAAACCCCATCCCCAACCTTTGCCGAGCCTCAACCAGCGTTGACCTGACTCGTTTTTCTGGGACCTGGGCCTTAAAGCCGGCGACTACATTTGAGGGGGTTCGTGGTGTAGCTTTAGGATTTGACGGCCTGGTATTGCGTGATTGGCTTACGAGAGAGGCGATACTGGAAAACTGACGACAGAGTATGCGGACTTCGCAAGCATCGAGAAGTGGGAGTTGCAAGATTGGAGGGGGGAAGGAAATTTTAGGGGGAGGGGATCGAAATTTGGGGAGAGGGGGGAGGGGGGGATCATAATTGGAGGGGGAGGGGGAATCGAAATTGGACGGGGAAAAGGGGAATCGCAATTGGAGGGGGAGGGGGAATCGCGATTGGAGGGGGGAGGGGGAAATCGCAATTAGAGGGGGAGGGGAATCGCAATTGGAGGGGGAGGGGAATCGAAATCCTGGGGTGAGCCAAATCTGTACACAATTGTGATCGAGGCCAGATTCAAATGTTTTTAAAGGTTTGGGCGAGTTAGCGGCAAAGTAGCTCAGTCCGTCAGGTTACCTCCTTTCAAATGTTTTTAATTTGAAAACAGCAACCACAAATGTAGACGCGGGCCTTAAAGCGAGCGGACAGACCAAACTCAAGACTCAAAGGTTTTGAGTTGTACTACACGCGAAAACGGGCGCGACAGAAACACGGTAACCAAATACACACCCGAGGGGTGCGATTTTGAGATCGGGGAGAGGTGACGTGCTATGCGACGCCTGTCCCAACCCAGCGACGGAACAAGCAAAGCCTTTCCACCCGCCACACCAAGATCCAAAGCTTTTGCTTTTTACTCTGTACTCAGTGGCAATGGCTCCTTCCCGCCATTCTCGCTCGCGAACACAGTGCTTACCTACCATGTCAGTAGAAAAATGTGCGTCTCTGGTAGCGGAACCAAGTTCCAGTAACACTAACAACTACTTCGTACCAAATCGCGCCCCCGCGCAGCATGCTAGTCCCGAACCAGCACGCAACACAAGCACTCCAGGGCGCGCTACGGAAAGACCTGAACAGCTATAATCCTCGCCAGCGCCAATCCCGCCCTAACGCTGCGCCAATCCCGCCATAACGCTGCGCCAATCCCGCCCTAAACGCTGCGCCAATCCCGCCCTAACGCTGCGCCGATCCCGCCCTAACGCAGCGCCGATCCCGCCTAACGCAGCGCCAATCCCGCCCTAACGCAGCGCCAATCCCGCCCTTACGCAGCGCCAATCCCTCGCTAGCCCAGCGCCAATCCCTCGCTAGCCCGACGCGTCACACCACATAGTACCGCCGCTCTGCGACGCGCTTGCCCTGTCCGCCTCTCTCCCATGGTCCCCTTTCCCATGGTCCCCTCTCCCATGCTCCTGGCAGGAAGGGGGGATTGCTTCCATGCTACGGAAGGGGGAGAAGCAGGAAAGTGGAAGGGGGGGAAGCAGGGCAGTGGAAGGGGGGGAAGCAGGGCAGTGGAAGGGGGGGAAGCAGGGCAGTGGAAGGGGGGGAAGGAGGACAGTGGAAGGGGGGAAGCAGGGAAGTGGAAGGGGGGGAAGCAGGGCAGTGGGAGGGGGGGAAGCAGGGAAGTGGAAGGGGGGAAGCCAGGCAGTGGAAGGGGGGGAAGCAGGGCAGTGGAAGGGGGGGAAGCAGGGCAGTGGAAGGGGGGGAAGCAGGGCAGTGGAAGGGGGGGAAGCCGGGCAGTGGAAGGGGGGGAAGCAGGGCAGTGGGAGGGGGGAAGCAGGGAAGTGGAAGGGGGGGAAGCAGGGCAGTGGAAGGGGGAAGCAGGGAAGTGGAAGGGGGGGAAGCAGGGCAGTGGGAGGGGGGGAAGCAGGGAAGTGGAAGGGGGGAAGCAGGGCAATGAAAGGGGGGGAAGCATGGAAGTGGAAGGGGGGGAAGCAGGGCAGTGGGAGGGGGGGAAGCAGGGAAGTGGAAGGGGGGGAAGCAGGGCAATGAAAGGGGGGGAAGCATGGCAGTGGAAGGGGGGAAGCAGGGCAGTGGAAGGGGGGGAAGCAGGGCAGTGGAAGGGGGGGAAGCCGGGCAGTGGAAGGGGGGGAAGCCAGGCAGTGGAAGGCGGGGAAGCAGGGCAGTGGAAGGGGGGGAAGGAGGCCAGTGGAAGGGGGGGAAGCAGGGCAGTGGGGAGGGGGGAAGCAGGGAAGTGGAAGGGGGGGAAGCAGGGCAATGAAAGGGGGGGAAGCATGGCAGTGGAAGGGGGGAAGCAGGGCAGTGGAAGGGGGGGAAGCCAGGCAGTGGAATGGGGGAAGCAGGGCAGTGGAAGGGGGGAAGGAGGGCAGTGGAAGGGGGAAGCAGGGAAGTGGAAGGGGGGGAAGCAGGGCAGTGGAGGGGGAAGCAAGGGAAGTGGAAGGGGGGGAAGCCAGCAGTGGAAGGGGGAAGCAGGCAGTGGAAGGGGGGGAAGCAGGGCAGTGGAAGGGGGGGAAGCAGGGCAGTGGAAGGGGGGGAAGCCGGGCAGTGGAGGGGGGGGGAAGCAGGGCAGTGGGAGGGGGGAAGCAGGGAAGTGGAAGGGGGGGAAGCAGGGCAGTGGAAGGGGGAAGCAGGGAAGTGGAAGGGGGGGAAGCAGGGCAGTGGGAGGGGGGAAGCAGGGAAGTGGAAGGGGGGGAAGCAGGGCAATGAAAGGGGGGAAGCATGGAAGTGGAAGGGGGGAAGCAGGGCAGTGGGAGGGGGGAAGCAGGGAAGTGGAAGGGGGGGAAGCAGGGCAATGAAAGGGGGGGAAGGCATGGCAGTGGAAGGGGGGGAAGCAGGCAGTGAAAGGGGGGGCAAGCAGGCAGTGGAAGGGGGGAAGCCGGGCAGTGGAAGGGGGGAAGCAGGGCAGTGGGAGGGGGGGAAGCAGGGAAGTGGAAGGGGGGGGAAGCAGGGCAATGAAAGGGGGGAAGCATGGCAGTGGGAAGGGGGGGAAGCAGGCAGTGGAAGGGGGGGAAGCCAGGCAGTGGAATGGGGGGAAGCAGGGCAGTGGAAGGGGGGGAAGGAGGGCAGTGGAAGGGGGGAAGCAGGGAAGTGGAAGGGGGGAAGCAGGGCAGTGGAAGGGGGAAGCAGGGCAGTGGAAGGGGGGGAAGCCAGGCAGTGGAATGGGGGGAAGCAGGGCAGTGGAAGGGGGGGAAGGAGGGCAGTGGAAGGGGGGAAGCAAGGGAAGTGGAAGGGGGAAGCAGGGCAGGGGAGGGGGGAAGCAGGGAAGTGGAAGGGGGGAAGCCAGGCAGGGAAGGGGGGGAAGCAGGCAGTGAAGGGGGGAAGCAGGCAGTGGAAAGGGGGGAAGCAGGGCAGTGGAAGGGGGGGAGCAGGCAGTGGAAGGGGGGAAGCCGGGCAGTGGAAGGGGGGAAGCAGGGCAGTGGGAGGGGGGGAAGCAGGGAAGTGGAAGGGGGGAAGCAGGGCAGTGGAAGGGGGGGAAGCAGGGAAGTCAAGGGGTATGGATGTAGGGAGGGGGGTTGGTCGTCTTGAATTGCCCCTTGGTGTCAATAGCTCCGGCCACTCCATTCCTCCCTGTATTTAACGAGACGGATCCTCCGCCCCCCAATCAGCACCCGCGTCCCCATCCACTTCCTGTCGTATCCTCATCCATCCCACCTCCTCTCCTCCTCCATCTCACTTGCAGGCCATCCAGGACCCACTCGGCAAGGCATCACGTGTGCAAGCTCCCATCACCCAACCCAAGCCCACCCATTCTTTCGAGCTGGTGGTTCTATAAGACCAGCCGCAAGCGGCCCATTCTGGCTTGGTAGGTCTCAGAGCCATAGACCGTGGGTTTGTAAAGCCCCCTAGATGATGTAAAGAGGCTAGTTGTATTAATAAATATCACCCTGTCGAGAGCATTGGAAGCATAACCTCCCCCGATGGATATAAGTATCACGCCTTGAAATGTTTTGTACCCCTTGCCAGTGAGCGATTGTGGCCATCACAAGGCATCCGTGTTAGTGGACATGTGCGGTTATATTTATGATGCACAAGAATAATCCACACCAACCCCGCCCGGCCAACACCCCAACGGCACCACGGGCGTGCACCACAATCGCCGCCCAGATTACCGACGCTGCCGCCAGTGGGAACGCGTGTTACCCTCGCCCCCAAACCTATCCCACCCAGTCTTCCACTATGGGAGCCTCCACTTTTGCTTCATGCCCAAGTATTGGGCTTGGCTCCACGCATGGCAGCGAGGTGTGCCCGGAGACTTCCTGCAGTGGGGAAGGGTTGGAGAGGGAGGTAAATGGTGGAGTAAGGAGGGGCTTGGAGGTGAAGATGCCACTTCCACATAGCACCTGCCCACGCAATATCCATCAGACATGGCTGGGAGCATATGCGCCATGCCTATGCATCTTGCACACACGCCACACCTCGCTGACCACGCTCCACACCCCGCTGACCCACGCACTTACTCACCCTTTTTCACACCACCCGTACTGCATACACCCCTCACCCATGCGCTGCGCACCTCTCACAATTGCAAGCAGCTCACCTCGCCATAACCCCATTGGTGTGTACCCCTCTCACCTGCGCACTGCATACCCCCGCTAGAGCCGCACCGATGCTGGCTCAATATCTAGTGGACCCACTCCACCACTGCCACCCGCCACTCTCCCTCCCCCCCCCCCCTCCCATCACTGCCTTTCTTTAAGAACAGACCATCATCCCACGCTTCAAACCACGCTTGGCCTTCTCACCACTGCTCTGCCCACCCATCTCTCCCTCGCTGCACCCATCCCTCTCTCCCTCTCTCTGCCCACCCAGCTCTCCCTTGCTCTGCCCACCTCTGGGCAGCCCACGATGCTCCCCGCTCTCTCCCCTGCTCTGCCCATCCCTCACAGCGGTGAGGGTGGCATCTGAAGTGCAATGGCATGAGTTGGCAGAGTAGCATGGGGTAGGGGAAAGAGCAGGGACGGCAGTGCGATGGGCTGAGGGTAAAGTGTGGATGGGGGAAGGGGGGAGCATCGTCGTGTATTAGTGTTGGAAGGGAGAGAGATCCATCAGAGAATGGGGGTGAGAGACAGTAAAGGGGAATCCGGAAACAAAAAATTGAGCAGACGAAAGGGGGGGGTATGCGGGGAGATTGCATGGAAGTGACAGGGCCTCGATCTAGGGTCGGGGATTGTATGAGCATAGGACGCCTACCAGCAATTGAACTGCCCCTAGCGGTGGCGTTGTGAGGAGTTTGGTGAGGCAGTCTGAATGGATGGCGTAGAGTGGAGGTCGCGGTAGGTGGAGGAGCCATGCGCTTCGCGGGGGTAATTGGTGACGTCACCTGTAGTGGATGGGGGGAATGTCAGAAGCTTGATTGAGTGGATTGAGGGGGACGGGGGAGGGGGGGGCGGGGATAGGGGGGAGGAAGCGGGGGGAGGAGGGGGGGGGAGGAGGGTGTAGGGGCACCATGCAGATGATGGGCAGTAAGAGGTATTCACCAGGATGTGAGTGATGATGGCGAAAAACTCACCGAGAGTCCGACGCACGCCACGACCTGCGCGCCGGCCACCCACATGGGGCTGCGAGGCATGCCTCGCAGTGCGTGGAGGAGTTGCCACCAACAGCCCAGAGTCCACCCGCACTGCAGTATTTGTCGGCTCCACGCGCACCCGAGTACGTGGGCCGTCATCCTCACCACAGCCGCTAGTGGCGGCTGTCCTGCCAATGAACCCCTCGCGCTGCCACTCATCCATGATCCGGTCGACCCATGACCAATCCATTGGGCCAAGTGTGCGGGTATTTTTGCCACGCCGTATCCGCGTCACCCGAACGTTGCGAGTCACGTATGCCCTCACTAAACGCTCCTGGCAGGTGTTCCAATGCAATACTGCCAGCCCCGTTCGCGCGCGGAAGCTCCCACGGAGTCGGAGTCGCTTCGGCGCGTACTTGCAAATTAGGGAGTGGAAGGATTCGTTCAGTGAGCTGCATGCCCCGTGGACGTAATATTTCACCTGCTCAACTCCACAGTGCTTCTCAAGCCATTCCGTGACAGCTACATGGGTCGCCGACCTGGGTGTGTATATGGCACTCTCCTTGCCCCAATTCTCGGTTACACAACGAGGCGCCTCGCCAGCTCTTGCACACCGGTCATGCAAGCCCGCCCAATGATCGGCTGCCATGCACAGCTCCTCCGAAACCGCCTCGGGTGACTTCGGTGCTCCGTCCCGCCGGCAGACACCGCACCGCATCATGACGTGGTAGAAGTGTATCACAAAGCGTTGCGCCACCGAGACCTCCTCCTCACAGCAACCTCCCGAATCCCCTGTCGCCGCACGAACCCTGGGGCGCTTCCGGCGGTATGTCCACCGTGGTACAGCACCGCCATCCACCACTTCCAGTGGCACACTTGCCGGTTGAGCTCGCGGCATTGCGGTACTTGTGGCCTCAGGGCCACCCACAACGTTAGCAGCGACCGGCACCTCCCCTGTGTCATGACGAGAGGAGGGTGGCAGATGCACAAAAAGGGGTGCGTGTTTGTATGTGTCTTTGGCCACGACAATGCGGGATACATCACGTACTGCCACGTACGCCTTGCTGCCCATCGCAAACTCACCACTCAGGTCTTGTCGCTCTTGCCATGGTCGTGCCCCTCCTGTGAAATGCACGCCTCGCGCGTCCCCCGTATGCGCAAGAACCATCAGCATGGATGCCTCTGATGATGGGCGTATCCCGCGGGCCTGATCTCCGTCGTAACCCCACAACTCATCCACATCAGAGTGCAGCACCTCCATGGTGACAGGTCCAGCAAAACCCGCAGCTCCCACCTCCTCGTTAACGCGATCTCCGACTCCCACATTCACCCTACTGCCAGAGCCACCATCCAGCATATTGCCATAGGAGATAGGGACCTCTACACCCATGCCGTCACCACCAACCCGTAGCACCTTCCTGAGCTCAGGATACTTGTATTTTGCATCCTCTGGCCGAATTGCTACAAACTCAAACCGCCCCAGCTCGGCACAAGCATGCCGTATGAGCGTTTCTTTGAGGACAGCCTTTGACTCCTTCGTCTTCTCATGAGCACTCAGCCACTGCCTAAGACTATCCACACTCGACACCCACAGGTCCTCAATGACACGGGCCTCCCCCACAGGCATGACTGCGCGTAGCGCATCTTGCAGATCCCTTAGAAACAACTTCCACAGGGACTGCTTTACATGCCACCAATCCACTTGGTGGTTCAACCCCCTATCTCTAGCCGCTCCCCTGAACGTAGTTCCTTGATCGGAAATAATACCATGCACCCGAAACCCCTTCGCTGCTAGTTGTTCCATTCCCCTTTCAAATGCGATACGCTCTAACACTATAGACGAGGGGTCATCTACATTCTTTTGTGTTACTACGACGTAAAGTATTTTACGCGATTTCTCGTCCATGAATGAAACAGTGCACCACTCGCCCTCCCTGACCTGTGACCATCGACCATCTACGCACACATAATCCCCTGCATCGTCGCGCCTAAGTATCTCTGCCCGCACTTCCTGCATCGACTTATCGGCCTCACGCACAATCGTTTCCTAAAGGCCTTTCTCGCCTGACAAGTGCTTGTAGAAAGTGCCTCTACCAGGGCACGGCAAGCTAACGTTCCGACAGAATTCCCACATCTGTTGGTACCCCATGCCTGCCAGTGCAAACGCACCTAAGAACCTGGATTGTTGCACTGGCATGTTGGTACCCCTGACTCGTGCCGCGTCCACAATATCCCGACGTGTACATGTCCAGAACTCGACTGTGTGAATGCACTCCATGCAACCCCAATACAAACCCCACGATGCCCATGACCGACGCCACGATCGCAACTCCATTTCCCCACCGCACACCGCGTTATGCATGCAAACCATCCTAACTCCCTTGAAAAATCCTACCATGTGCCGGACCTCCACCAAGCCCACCGCTGACCCATCCAGATCATCCAGTCTCGGTGCGGGATCCCACAGTGGCGGGACTGTCCGTCTGGTGGCCAGTCTGGGGCCACAAAAGGGCGGCCTGAGAATAGGGGGAACAAGGGAAGGTTGGTATGATGGTTGGGCACAGCAATGACTTGGGCAGCGGGGGGAGGCTTAGGCTAGCTCTAGACGAAGAGAAAGCAGGTTTTGCAGGTGCGGCATTGGTACACGGAGCATGTGACACGTCGTGCACACAATGCAATGGAGGAAGAGTGGGTTTCGGGAGTCGAGGCATTAGGAAGCATGGGGTGCTATTCGCACCTGCAAGCATGGGGGTCAGCCCCAATGGCGCATGGCGCGCTCTGCTCTGGATGGGGTTGGACCTCAAGCCCCTCGACGTTGCTTATGGCGGGTGCCCTAAAGATGGAACAGGGCGGATGCGCATAATCAGACCAGAGTGCTGGCACAACTGCAGCATAGGCATAGGCCTAGACATGTGCATCGACATGGCAACAGGTTGGGCACAGCAATGACTTGGGCAGCGGGGGGAGGCTTAGGCTGGCTCTAGGCGAAGAGAAAGCAGGTTTTGAAGGTGCGGCATTGGTGCACGGAGCATGTGACAAGTCGCGCACACAATGCAATGGGGGAAGAGTGGGTTTGGGGAGTCGAGGCATAAGGAAGCATGGGGTGCTATTCGCACCTGCAAGCATGGGGGTCAGCCCCAATGGCGCATGGCGCGCTCTGCTCTGGAAGGGGATGGACCTCAAGCCCCTCGACGTTGCTTGTGGCGGGTGCCCTAAAGATGGAACAGGGCGGATGCGCATAATCAGACCAGAGCGCCGGCACGGCTGCAGCATAAGCATATGCCTAGACATGTGCATCGATATGGCAACAGGTTGGGCACAGCAATGACGTGGGCAGCGGGGGGGGGGGGGGGGGGTGGTTTAGGCAAGCCCTAGGCAGGGGGAAAGCAAGTTTGAAGGTACGACATTGGTGCAGGGTCGACAAGTCGCATTACAAAAGTGGGCATGGGGAAATGATGCATTTGCAAAAGTACAGATGTCATAATTGTAGTGCGTTGCATCGTTGTATGTGCACATGTTGCTATGAGAATGGGTAATGAACATGCGCTTCGAATGTCTAACTCTAGCCTGCCTCCTTACCTCGCCGGCGCCTCGCGAGCTGCCGATGCGTTACCCTCTGTCGGTTGCGCATGGGGTGCGCTTGTCGTCACCGTAAGGCCTACTTCGTCGCCCGCTCCATGCCGCTCATCACAAGATGGGGAGCCCTCCGCTCCCTCTGCAGCACTCCCATCTGTGGGCAAGGGTAGCATAAGCACAGTGGACGACTTATTTTTCCACTTCTGTGAGGCAGTCTCATGCGTCCATCGCACATCGACTCCCAAATCCCAATACTGCATCCCCTACCAAAGATCCAAAACGCCTTACCCTTTTGTGCTTCGTAGGCTTGCCCTTGGCGTGCGCCACCCCATCCATTGCCCTCAGCCAGTCTATACTTTCCGGCCTCTGTCCACTTGTAGAGCGGAAACCCAAATCTGACCCCACGGAGAGCCCCAGTGGTTCGCGCTAGGAGTTGTGCGGCAGAGGCGGGTCCATCTCGCACACGGCTCGCGAATATGATCCCGTATGCTTTCTTGTGTCCCTCCAACAGCTTTGCTGTGGCCTTGGCATCGTTTTGGAGGACTGTGAGATTGGTAGATATATGACACGTGGGATGTGTGCAAGATTGGGCCCACAATCTCTGTTGGTAAGATCCCAATGAAACACCACCCACATCTGCCGCCCATAATTATCAAGCTCACCTGCAGCTAGCGCAGCCTTCTCAAGGCTCTCCACTGCGGCCTTGGCATGTTGGGCAAGGAAAAAAATCAGATCGTCCACTGTGGCGACCCTGTCCTGTAGCCTACACTTCCCCGTCAAACCCACACGCCACACCGCGACGAGAGGACCCATGTGGCACGTCATGGACACTGTGCCTCGCCGGGCCTCTGACACCGCCTGCTGCGCTGGGTGTGTCCCTCCTCCCACAGGCCTAACCATTTTGCACGTGCACTTCTGGCTGTCAGCAAACGATGGGGGGGGGGGGAAGGAGAGGTAGGGGTGGAGTGTGTCGCCAAATGAGCAGGGAGGCTTGACTATGGATGGGGCGGTGGTGCACTCTGGATGGGATGGTGGTGGATTGTGGATGGTGAGGAAGTGGACTTTGGATGGGGTGAGGGTGGACTCTGAATGGGGGGAGCTGGAATCTGGATGGGGGGAGGTGGACTCTGGAAGGGGGGAGCGTGGACTTTGAATGGGGGGAGCTGGACTCTGGATGGGGGGAGGTGGACTCTGGAAGGGGGGAGCGTGGACTCTGAATGGGGGGAGCTGGACTCTGGATGGGGGGAGGTGGACTCTGGATGGAGGGAGGTGGATTCTGAACGCGAGGGTGGTGCACTTTGGATGGGGGCGGTGGGCTCGGGGCTGTGGGGGTTGGGGTACAGTGGTGTGAGGGCAGGGGAGAGAAGGGAGGCATCTCGTGGTGAGTGGCAAGGAGGTCGAAGTGGGGGACGGGGGGGGGGAGGGTACTGGAGCGCGGGTTGAATGGTTGTCGAGGGAGGGGAGGCGGGGGCCTGGCTTGGGGGGGAGGGCGGAAAGGGTGGGTAAAAGGGTTAAAAGGGGTAGGATTGGGGCATGACGGGCATGACATACAGTGGCAGATACTGGTTCTGTTTGTGGAGGACAGAGGGGGGTGTTTGGTGTGTAGTGGCGCCTTTGTGTGTAAAAGACGGGCCTTAGGGCCTGCTGCATGTACCCCCTCTCTCTGATGTAGTCGTACTCTGTCACCCCGCATCATTGGTCTATCCGCGTCCCCATTTTGCTGCCGTATCTCTCACAGGTACACTCGTTTGAACCTACTCACCGCTCCCCCCCCCCCTTTCCCAGTTCGTTTCCATCCCCTGCTCTCCCAACCCTCTCAGATAGCTGAGAGGGGAGATAGCTGAGAGGGGAGATAGCTGAGAGGGGAGATAGCTGAGAGGTGAGATAGCTGAGAGATGAGATAGCTGAGAGGTGAGATAGCTGAGAGGGGAGAAAGAGGGGAGATAGCTGATTGGGGAGATAGCTGAGAGGTGAGATAGCTGAGAGGGGAGATAGCTGAGAGGTGAGATAGCTGAGAGGGGAGATAGCTGAGAGGGGAGAAAGAGGGGAGCTAGCTGATTGGGGAGATAGCTGAGAGGTGAGATAGCTGAGAGGTGAGATAGCTGAGAGGGGAGATAGCTGAGAGGTGAGATAGCTGAGAGGTGAGATAGCTGAGAGGGGAGATAGCTGAGAGGGAAGATAGCTGAGAGGGGAGAAAGAGGGGAGCTAGCTGATTGGGGAGATAGCTGAGAGGTGAGATAGCTGAGAGGTGAGATAGCTGAGAGGGGAGATAGCTGAGAGGTGAGATAGCTGAGAGGTGAGATAGCTGAGAGGGGAGATAGCTGAGAGATGAGATAGCTGAGAGGTGAGATAGCTGAGAGGGGAGATAGCTGAGAGGGGAGAAAGAGGGGAGATAGCTGATTGGGGAGATAGTTGAGAGGGGAGATAGCTGTTCTCGCTCTACCGCAATATGCCCTTCTCCCTCGCCGTGTCCCTGGCGTTTGGGCCGAAAATAAGCGCTGTTCTTGCTCTACCGCAATATGCCCTTCTCCCCCGGTGCTTACCTACTATTTCTCATTATTTCTCTCGCCTCACTCTCTCTCTTCCCTATTTTGTGGTGCCGAATCCCCTCTACTGCACGGTTCCGCTTTGCCGCCCAACCCTATCTCTCTTCCTTGCCACCATTCAGCCAGTCCCGCGTTCCTCGCAAATCTCCCACCGCACCTGCGGGTCGATCGCCGTTGTACTTCAGTCTTCAGTCACGACGGGCCCCTCTTTTCAGCCCCCCTTTTTTTTTCAAATGTCCTAGCTTGGGGAAGTCATAGGGAGGGATTCGCGCCCGCGCTCTATACCTAAAATGTAGCGTTGCTTTGCGTTCCAAGCACTGGGCTCGCCAAATCGTACGCTGCTCTGCTCCAGCGGGTGGGGTTGGCAGTGAGATTCAAGGCCTGTTCCCGAATGCAAACCAGGTTTTTATGTCCTGGTTTTGAGCAAGGGGAAGCAGGGCTATCGTTGTTTTCGTTTGCGCATTTTTGTTGTATGTGTCAATTCGTAGTACAAACGCAGCAGTTATGCGAACACGGTATGGTTGGGGCAGAGTGGTGCTGTCGTCCAGAATCTGCCCTGCGACCTCCCAGGTTTTGACGAGGTCTGTTTTCCCATCGCGAGGGGCCAGACCGTTTCGCGTGGGGCAGGCGCCTTTCGTGGGGGTAGATGGGCCGCTCGTCAATTTCGCTACCCAAACTCAAGACTCAAAGGTTTTGAGTCTTGAGTTTGGTCTGTCCGCTCGCTTTAATTGTCGGGAAAATACATCGGCGCTCAGTATAAGGGGCCTCGATAACATGTACGGTCAGTGACAGGATATAAACAATCAGAATTAGTGAGTTCGCAACATGTTTCATCAGTCGGGTTCCACCGTTAGTCAGAAACCACAGGAAAACAGTTCCACGAATGGTCAGTAGAAGTAACCCTCGCCCGTTTCGGAACGTTTTCCCGCCCGTGCCAGCCTGATTTCGTCACCATTGCGGCTGGCGCGATCTTTTTCCGGAGGTCCAAACGCGGTTCGAGCGAAAAAACACAAAATGCCCAAATTGAAATTCGTTGGACATTTGTTTGTCGAGAAACTAGAAAACACGATTTTGTTTCGAAGCACATACTTTTGTCACAGTGTAGCGCGTCCCGCGATGATAAAAAATGGCGGCTTTGTCTCTACCGCATTTACGGCCCCAAAAAAAAGCCAAGCCATAAACGTGTTGTCATTCCCGAGTCGCTCGAAAACAAAAGCATAATTAGATAACTACGGAGGTTTATTTTCGGGAAATTAATATGTTTAAAAACACTTCAAGGTACTCTCAGAACCGCATTTAATTTTGTATTAATTTTAATACAACGAATCTATTAGAAGTCTGCCGGTTGTCTTTTGATTTTTTCAACAAATGTATTTTCCAGAAAACTTTTTCGCCGAATTACAAGTCTACAGGTCTTGTCATGCTCGAAACAAATAAGCGCACGTGCACTACAGTATAATTTTCACGCCCCATTAGTTTAGCGCCCATCCCGGATAGATTTTCCATTTCATATCAAATGTTTTTTTTTTTTTTTTTTTTTTTTTTTTTTTTTTTTGCGTTTGTGAATGTTTGAACAATGTTGCACCCAATGTGCGGCCTGCTGTGGCCCAAATAGTTTCTGTAACAGAAATACGCGAGGTCTCAATTTTGGAATTTTGTGAGTCTAATGATATTTAATTTGGGAATACTGTACGTAGTTCTCTCGAACTGCGCCTAGAGCTTGAGAAAAATATCGCGCCGGCCACAATGATGACGAAATTAGGCTGGCGCGGGCGGGAAAACGTTCTGAAACGGACGGGGGTTACTTCTACTGACCATTAGTGGAACTTTTTTCCGGTAGTTTCTGACTAACGGTGGAACCCGACTGATGAAACATGTTGCGAACTCATTAATTCTGATCGTTTATATCCTGTCACTGACCTAACATGTTATCGAGGCCCCTAATACTGAGCGCCGATGTATTTTCCCTTTACCGTACATCCCTTTGTAGAATTCTAAAAACTGCATCCATATATATTTCATTTCGTATGATATGTTTTAGCATAGCAACCAACACCTGATCAAACAGAAGTGTCTTTTGTATAATTAGTTGTAAATTAGAATATATTGCAACACCATTTGAGTCAGTAATGGGTGGGTATCCTGCTGGCCTGCTTTTCAAGCACATGGATTGCAAAAAGGTATGAGTGTAATCGAATGAACTAGAATGAAGACACAAGGGAATATATAATTGGGTGCTGTACTCTTTAAGAGCACGAACCCTTCTAGCCTATAACTGCTACATATGCAAATGTGTACCGTAATCCCCCGGATAGAGCCCCCTGTTAGAATACTAGAATGACTAGAAACAAGAGAGAATAAGTAAGAACATGGGTTGGGTTGTACTCTCAAAGAACATACACCTATTCTACCCTATAAATTCTAAATGCATAATGTATGTATAAGTTGATACATCCCCTAGGCTAGAAAAAGGGTAGTGCTGAACAAGAAGCACACAGCTAAGGGTGGCACTAGTAATCCAACCTCTGAGACAGGGGTCCCAAGACCAGTCAGCAAGAGTACAAACAAGATAGGAGCAAGCCAGGGTGGCACTACTATTTTGGCCACTAGAAGAGGAGCCACAAGGCCAGTATGAAAGATATATAAAAAGAGGAGTACAAAATTAAGGTCCTAGGAAGTGAGATTCTACAGGAACTAGACCAAGCTGTAAGCAGTGCCGCTGATGATCTTTAGCCGAAAGCGGCTTAGTAAAGATATTAGCTGTGCTGGCACCGGAGGCCAAGTGTACTACGCGGGCCTGGCGGCGCTGATATAGCTCATGCAGGAGGAAGTACCGCAGCTGGATTTGCTTCGCTCTACCCTCAAGTCGAGGCTCCTGACACAGGAGGATCATGGCCCTGTTGTCAGCGTACAGGACTGGGGCAGAGCTAGGCCGCTCACCTAAGTCGGTGAGCAAGAACGCCAGCCAGTGGAGCTCCTGTGCCGCCATGGCACCGGCGTAGATCTCAGCCTCACAGCTAGACTGGGCAACAGACGAGGAGCGAGTGGACCTCCACGAGATGGCACCCGAACCAAGGCTAAACCAGTAGCCCCGGGAGGACCTGAGGGTCTCAGCGTCGTCTACCCAAGAAGCATTTGTGTGCCTGTGGTCTACTGGCAGAGGTGTGGGCTGTGCGGAGGAGAACTGAAGACCGAACCTCTGAAGGAGCTAACGCACCAAGTGTGACTGTGTGAGAGTGATGGTGGGCGTTGCTCTGTCCCTGGAGCTCTGCAGGCCAAGGTAGTAGTGCAACTTTCCTAGGTCAGTGCACGTGTGTCTCCTCAGCAGCTCGGCCTTCATGGAGACTAGCGCGTCTCTGTTTACAGTAG